GTCCAGGCTCAGGAAAGAGTACTTATTGCGATGGCAGTAAGCTATCCCAACTAATCTAGTCCTTTGTATAATTTCCTTGTTACGTACCCGAGTTTTCTAACTGGCTCATAGTGCACCAGTTCATGAGCGCGATAGGGCGCGAATGCTCCGTCGTGAACCTAGATCCTGCGAACGACCACACGAGTTATCCCTGTGCCTTGGATATCCGCGACCTAATCACTCTCGAAGAGATCATGAGCGACGATCAGCTTGGCCCAAACGGCGGTATATTATATGCGTTTGAAGAGCTCGAGAATAACATGGAATGGCTCGAGAATGGGTTGAAGGAGTTGGGTGAATCATATATTCTATTCGACTGTCCCGGCCAAGTCGAGCTATATACGCATCATAACTCACTACGAAATATTTTCTTTAAGCTCCAAAAGTTGGGCTACCGAGTACGCGTCTAACGTAGCCGAGTATCTTTCTAGGCTATAGTCGCTAATAGATTACAGCTCGTCGCCGTCCATCTTTCCGATAGCTTCTGCCTCACCCAACCTTCTCTCTATATTTCCAACCTACTACTGACCCTTCGCGCCATGCTCCAGATGGACCTTCCTCACATAAACGTCCTGACCAAGATAGACAAAGTCGCATCTTACGATCCACTACCATTCAACCTCGATTACTACACCGAAGTCCAAGACCTTTCGTATCTTATGGAAGTCCTCGAAGAGGAATCGCCTGCAATGCGTAGTGATAAGTTCCGTAGACTAAACGAAGCTGTCGCAAACCTGGTGGAGAGTTTTTCCCTAGTGCGTTTCGAGGTCCTCGCTGTTGAGAATAAGAAGAGCATGACGCATCTTTTGCGGGTTATCGACAGAGCGAGCGGTTACGTCTTCGGTGGTGCGGAGGGCGCAAACGACTCTGTCTGGCAGGTTGCAATGCGCAACGAAGGATCAATGATGGAAGTTCAGGACATCCAAGAGAGATGGGTCGACTCGAAAGATGCATACGATGCGGCGGAGGAGAAGGAATGGGAGGAGCAGCGTAGAGGAATGGAGGGCGACACGGGCACCACCACACCAGATCTAATCCCAGATGATGATGATGACGAATTCGACGGAATGCCACCACCGACGGGCGATAGCGGAATCAAGGTAGTTCGCAAAAAGCAGTGATATCCTCTCAGCCGTCGCTTATTTCCCCCATCTCCACGTCACTACCGTCGTCTCCAACGTCTGGTAAGTCTGCCATAGCAATTTCACGTTGCGGTAATTCAAATTCCCCAAACATATTACTGAAGGAATCCTTAGCCTTCTCCTTGTGGTCGTTCTCCGCCTCGAAGATAAGATTCCGAGCGCGTCGGATGGCTTCTTCCTCTGCTTTACGCATAGTACCACTTACGTGGACAACACGGAAGATGCATGGTTTCCCATTCTTGATGGGGGTGCTGTTCATGAATGTGAGAGCAGCCCAGACTAAGCGATACGATGATCGCGAAATGCGTAAGATAAAAGTAGAGGTGGCGTGAGAGAAGTATTTAACTAGTAACAACAATGTGAGCTACGTATAAGTCGTAACAAGTTTATACCGCTGACTTACCTCCTAAGTTTCCTCCCTCAATAAGCCCCGAGCCGTAGTCTCCGAACAAACTAGCAACCTCTGCGCGTATGCCCCTGAGGAGACTTGCGGGGTTGAGCTGGTCGGTAGTAGGTTGGTTGATAACTACAACATCGGGAAGATCGGAACGGCCACCGAGTTCGTTCGGGTAGAGGATCTTGACTAGGAGGTAGCGCTCCTTGATTCGGACCATCGTTTCTTATGAAACCATATATCTTCCAATTTTTCTGGGGATTACTTGGTGCAATGGGACCACAAGCATATATCGGATACCCCTTGACACGTGACAACCGCGTTTGCGGAAATGGAGATGAGTGAAGTTGCGGATCGAAAAGTTACGAAGCAGGTAAAATTTCCCGCTGTTGCAGGAAGCTTTATCTTATCAGAGTTAGGTGGAGAACTCGTCGTCGGTTAGATCCACTTAGGTACATTGAGCTTGACGTTGTGTAGCTATGGTACTTACCTATTGTACAGTGGACCTACCTATTTAGAAGATACCTATGATACAAGTAGTTAACGCTTTCTATTTTGATGTATCACTTGTGCAAGTCGCAGTTACTTAGACCAATTATATGTCAAGATCTTAGACGGCAACTTATATGAATCGATACTCTCGCTAAATTTTACTAACCTGTTTTAATGAGATTTTAAAACGATTATAAGCGTTTTGCCCCTCTTATGAGAAGAAGAACCAGTTTAAACTGAGCAAAAGCCGACGTATACTGGCCCCGCATTTGCACTGTACCAATGATGCTTCTCTCTTATACACCCACCATACAAGTCCAAAGACTCACTTATACCAAGAATCTTCGTTATATATGACTCAATTCAATGTCTATTAGAACAGGCTGATACTTTATTTTTTATTTTTCGAGTAAAGTCGGATTTATATTATAGTTTAATCTCGCAACCATCAGATCAACCGTCGACAACTATGGCTAATACTACTCTAAGGGTCGCATTACTCATCGTCTCCACGACGGCGGCCAGGGATCCATCAACCGACGCTTCTCAGGCAGTGCTAAGCAGTGTCCTGGAGGAAGAAGGCGACGGAAAATGGGACCTTGTCGATACCAAGATTGTTCCCGATGTCGTCACTCAAATTCAACGGCAGCTAATGTTGTGGGCAGATGTCGCCGCAGAAACCATTAATCTCATACTTACCACTGGGGGAACTGGCTTCGCGGTGGCAGACAATACACCAGAGGTATACAATATGAGCCCAGTACATTATATGGTTGAGTGTTGCAGCAGTCTCGCTAACTTAACTCAGGCTGTTTCTGCCCTACTTCATAAACCCGCGTCTGGTATTGTCCACGGCATGTTGGCAGCTTCTTTAAATGTTACTCCATGTCAGTACACGAGTTGCACGCCATATTGTTAGAACGTCTACTGAGATTATAAGTTGCTATGATGTCTCGCCCAGTTGCGGGTGTTAGGAACAAGTCGCTTATAATAACACTTCCGGGGTCCCCAAAAGGAGCCCGAGAAAACCTACAGGCAGTTTTGAAGACACTACCCCACGCATGCCTCCAGGCTGCGGGTATGGACTCGAGATCATTGCATGCCGGCGGTGTTAAGAAACTCGAGGCAGAAGCAGGAATAAAGTCTGGCGGAGGGCACTCGCATTCTCACGATCATCGTCATGATCACGGAAATAGCCATCCACCTGGCCATAGCCACGGGCATAGTCACGGCCACGGCCATTTAGTCAGACACACGACACCCAACGCAAATCCAATGTCAAATGACCCAAGTCTAGGCCCTAGCCGTAGGAATAGAGAATCCCCGTTTCCGATGCTTTCGGTCGACGATGCGTTAAGCAAGATCAAGGACTACACGCCACTACCAGAAGCCGCCACATTAAAAGTTGACAACTCGCTACCTGGTCATGTCTTGGCTGAAGATGTGCAAGCAAGAGAAAATGTGCCCGCATTTAGAGCAAGTATCGTCGATGGCTATGCGGTTGTTGTGCCCAAAGATGGAAATTTGAAAGGCGTTTTCCCCGTCGTCTCGGTGTCTCATGCCTCACCGGGGGGAGTTAAGCCATTAAAGGAAGGGGAAATCACTAGGATTACTACAGGAGCACCACTACCCCCAGGGGCTACGTCCGTCATTATGGTAGAAGACACAATTCTGAAGACAATGGCCGACGATGGTAAAGAAGAAAAAGAGGTGGAGATCCTTGCTGATAACGTACAAGAAGGAGAGAATATCCGAGAAGTCGGCAGTGATATCGAGGCAGGGACGGTTATTCTCAGCAAGGGCGAACAAGTGTCTGCCGTTGGCGGTGAAATAGGTCTTCTGGCTGCCGTTGGCGTTGCTGAAGTGAAGGCTTACCGCAAGCCAGTCATAGGAGTATTATCTACTGGAGACGAAATCGTCCAGCACGATCGGCCTGGGGATTTACGGCTCGGCGAAGTACGCGATACCAACCGGATCACCCTAATGACCGCTGCGAAGGAGTGTGGATACGAAGTTGTCGATCTAGGAATCGCAGCAGATAAGCCCGGTACTCTGGAAGAGACTTTAAGGGACGCACTACGGCGCGTTGACTTCATCATCACTACGGGCGGAGTCTCAATGGGCGAGCTTGACCTATTGAAGCCGACAATTGAAAGATCGCTGGGCGGCACAATCCATTTCGGTCGCGTCGCAATGAAACCAGGCAAACCGACAACTTTTGCTACTGTTCCGGTCAAGAACAATGCTGGCGAGCGAGTAACGAAAGTCATATTTTCCCTGCCTGGAAATCCGGCGTCCGCCATCGTCACGTTCCATCTCTTCGTTTTGCCTTCTCTTCACCAAATATCAGGTATTTCGCCGGCCGGTCTAACGAGGGTTCCCGTCACGCTCGCACACGATTTTATCTTGGATAAGGCGAGGCCCGAATACCACCGTGCTATCGTTTCGGTGAGTAAAGATGGGAACTTAGTTGCCGCGAGCACAGGCGGCCAACGAAGTTCTAGGGTTGGTAGTCTGAGAGGTGCCAATTGTTTACTATGTATGCCGAGTGGCAAGGAGCCTCTAAGGAAGGGAGCCAGAGTCGATGCGCTTCTGATGGGCGGCATTAGGAGCGAATGATCGACATTTGAATTCGTCGCCGCGCACCAAATTTCACTATCAATACACCAAAGTGGTTTTAACCCATCAATGCACGCCCTTATACTATTATATTATTATACTATTATGCTATTATACACAGATTATCGTTTGCAATTCGCATCATATCATTGGTTATTTCGACCAAAAAGACTAGGATGTCTACCCACGATGGCGTTTTAACTAGGGCTGCAACTATCCGCGGCCCCATCCAGCAAATTTTAGTGCTATAACGTATTGTAGCGACGAAGAAATTTCAGCATCTGAGATTCATCTCTCACACTGGTTCATAAAACGGGCTTGTGGTTTAGTGGTATAATACTCCCTTAGCAAGTTCTGATAACTTGGGAGTGGTCCGGGGTTCGATTCCCCGCGAGTCCATCGTTGGAGGTTTGATTCCTCCTGTGCCATATTTTTATTCTCTTTTTCTTTTGGCCATGCTCAAATAATGGCGGTTTTAATACGACGGCACTAGTGCGCAGAAATCTTTTTACATGCTGGGTTCTCAACGGTTAGAATAACATGATAATATAAAATCATGAATACCTACCACTGTGTTTGAATTCGCATCCGGAATTAGGAAGTTCATATACATTTCAATTACTCTAAATTAGACGAATGCGGTCGTCGAATATCCAATCTATCGACGCATAGGAGATCATAATATCGTTGCCTCGTGTGTGCCAGTCTTTAACCCCCTTTCTATCCTAAATACGATGTTGGTACCATTCACATACCAAAAGAAAATAGGCCAATCTATATACCCAACGGACCTGAAAATCCTAATTTCTATGCAAATAAATAGTTAATGCGATCATATGCGTACCTTATCTAACTTCTTCCCTGAATATGATGCTTTGAAAATGCATCATTCCGATATAGTGGGATACAATCCAGCTTCCTCGTTTCGTAAGTCGGGCCTGTTCTTGCTCGCCATGGTATCATTCTCAACTACAACACTAGGCACATGTTTTCTTGGTACCCAGAGGAGTTGTATAATCCCAATTAACGCAACGCCAGAGCAGCTAAACCACGCGGCAGCCGAACCGCCAGCGCTATAGATGATGCCTACTAGTGGCGGAGATATGGTTCGAGCTAAACAGCAAGCAGACATAGCTAATCCATTGACCTTGCCAAGAACCAGCGGGGATGGCGTGGCATCTTTGATCAAGATGAGCGCACAGGGAATAACGATAATACCGAATAAGCTTTGCAGGATCATAGACAGGTATATTCCAGGGGATACGAGCGAGGATGGGAAAGCAGAGAGGAAAGGCATAACCACGTATGCCAAGGGGTAGAAGACGATGTTCAGGAGAAAAGACTTCCAGACTCCGACCTTGTCCACGAAAATCGGGAATATGAAACCCTGAATGAGCAGGCCTAGGACTCCGTTTACCGATAAATAGATTCCTACGTCGTGCACGGTATATCCCAACCCGCCGATTAAATCAAGTTGGCCCGGAGCTGTCGCTGGCCTATCTAAGAGATGCGTGGGTAGAAGGGTGTTGAACGCCATCTGATGGTATGAAACCAAGACAAGCGCGATGGTTACCATTATGATGGTGAAGTTGAAGGCCCGGCCGTTGAACACCCCGTTTTCCTTCGGGACACTAGGACGAAGCTTGATTGAGCGCACAGTCCCAAACGACGATCTCCTCAGGTCGAAGTTCTGCTCAACCGGCACCGGAAGGCTCTCCTCGATAAAAACCGGCCTGTCACTAGCGGCACACGAGCGGCTCCGGACAGATGGTCTGCGATCCTTAGGACGCTCGTGGAGAGGAGTGCGCTCGTCGACAGCATCGTCGTCGAAAACGCTCTCGTGAGTGGCCTTTCGGCTTCGCGGGTTAGTCTCTTCGAGGAAAAGCATCCCCTGTATGATAGCCAGCACGATGACAATTACCGACACCAGATTCGGCAACAGGTAAGGGTATCTTCCGAAGATACCGTCCGCGGGAAATAGCGAGGGATAGAAGACCGCGGGCTGGGCTAGAAACCCTCCCATGGCGGATCCTATAATCCCTCCCAGAGTCCAGACGAAGGGCTGCGTGGCGTAGGCCTTTGGCTCGTGCTCCGGTACCTTGACCATTTCCGCAACCATCGTTTGCATCACCTGCGATCGGTCAGTACGAACAGCTATTCTCTTTAAAACCCATGCATCTCACGGAGCGGATTCATAGGTCATCGTCGAATTGATTATCCCCCCAAAAAAGAAAAAAAAAAAAAAACGGCTTCACTTACAGCAACATTCCCATTCAAAGCCCCGCCAATAAACCGGGCCAACAGCGCAACCCAGTATTCAGTCGCCAAGCCGAAGATGAGGCTGGAAATAGCCACGCCGCCGAGCCCGAAGAGGACGACGGGCTTGCGCCCGTACTTGTCCGAGAGGGCGCCCCAGCCGATGGCCGTCAGCGCCTCGGCGACGGCGTACGCCGAGACCAGGAGGCCGGCGTAGAAGGACGCGTCGGTGTCGTCGCCGCCGTTGAGGTCCTGCACCATCACGTACGTGTACGCCAGGATCGAGTTGAACGCGATGGGCTCCGAGAACCGACATATTGCTGTTGCGGGGGCGGGTGCGATCGGTCAGGATGGGTAAGAAAGAAAGGTGGAAAGAAAATGGCTTTTGTCGGGCGTGGAAAAGGGGGTGGTTTGGTAGGATGGTAGGTAGGTGGATTGATAGGTTGATTGGGTTACGCACCAAGGATTGTGAGTTGCTTGGTTGGAAAGGCATGCGAAGACGACGAATCCGAAGCCATGATCCGTCCTATCTTGTCTCGTCTTGTCTCGTCTTGTCTTGCCCGTCCTGGGCACCTCCCGATCTATCCAGTCTAGTCTAGTCTAGTTCAGAACTAGACTCTTTCGCTTCGCAGCGAGCCACGATCGACGATGTCCAATTGGGATACGAAGCTGGCTCAGCTTTTGGTCTAGGGGATTTTCCTCGTTGCTACTACTACTGCTACGACCTCTAGTAGATCACGTCTCTAGTAGATCACGTCGTTGGAGAAGATTGCTGATCGTACCCAGCTTGAAGAAGATAGGTAAGATACCTAGGTAGCTTAGGGAGGTAAGTGTGGCTTTTTTTTCTTTTTTTTGTTCGTCGCCGTGCGGGGAAGAGTAATGGTTGCTTGCGAGGTCGGACTCGAGGGATGGCTCGTCGATCACTGACTGTTCTTTGGAGTTTAATCGGCAGAACATCCTTGCAATATATATTTACTATAAACTGGATATGAATTTGCTACATCAGACGCGTTGGTGGAAGGTAGTGGTGTGGACCTTGTAAAGATTGGACGGCAGGTAGCTTGGGTATAAGGGTAAAAGACTCAAGTTAGTTATATAAGTAGTTACCTAGTTATAACTACCTAACCAACTAGGTAACTATTGAAATATCAATCTATAAGTTACCTAGGTTGTATCGTATTTGCGAATGGGCGCTCTATTTGGCCCGTGCATGGCTTCCTGTTAGTGACCCCTTTTATTTTTAATAAGGGGTAACGAGGCCATCAATCTCTATACTGTCGAGTTCGCATTCTCTCATACAGTCTTTTTAGTTACCTATATACCAAGGTATAGTTTCATTGGTAAAATTGTATAAGTCTCTACATGTAGCATATATGTTTGTAGCTTAAAATGATACTCCACGGGTCTATACACCGCCAATATTCATAATATTATTACAATTCGGTAAGTCGAATGTCGGAAGTTCCTCCTAATATACGCCAAAGTTATATACCGCCAAGAACACCACGACCAGATCTGTTATACAAATTGCTTATTTAAACATGCAACTTTAATGTTACAATCTGTGGTGCTACATTTCGTATAGCCACCCCCATTTCTCGGGTTTCGTCGGATTTATCATTGAACAAGCGGTCCAATAAAAATATCCTTGACGGAACTGGTGATACTCTTCACATCGACATTATCCCTACATTTGTTACCCGGTTAGCCTTCCCTAACGCTACTTAAAGCCTTGCTAGAGCCTAGGTAGATAGCTTAAGGGGCGTAACTTACCAATTATCGTCCCAACCCAAACTATCCAAGTGGTTGAGATACGCCTTGCCATTCTCACTATCGCCGAGCCGTATGAAATGGAACGAAACGTGATTTTTGTCTAATTTCCGCTCTTTAAGCAGGTCGTTCAACCTCTCTATCGGCCGTTCTACACGGTAGTCGATATCTAGGTCTTTACCCCAGTCGCCGTCCGTAAAAACGTATATGCTCGTTGGTTTCTTTGTGAAGGGACGGTATTTTAGGCGCAACTTTAAGCCTAATATAGGTATTGGCAAACGAGGAACTATCACATCGTCGACGAGGCGTCCGAACCCGGACTCGATCAGCCCTGGTTCACGGCGATAGCTGTGGTGTACTATTATATCAACCAAGCTTTTGACTCGCCACCTGCGATGTAGACGCCTTGGCTTGGACGCGAATGAAATCTCCACATCGTTGCCTTCTAGCCTTCTAGCTAGATGGAGAATTGGCAGAGACGCTTTCTCGACCGATTGTGCGTGCTTCCCCATTGTAGTAGAGTCGTCGAAGAATAAAATGTGATGTCGATCGGGTACGTTAGCCTCTAAATCTTTTAGAAGCCCCTGTATCTCCGTATCGATGGATTCTCGAGGTTTCCTAGTGCCGTAGCTACAAATATATTGTAATCTCTGGATATGGTCTCCTAGTGCCGCGAGACATAGGCCTCGTTCATTCTCTGTCTGCGATATGTCTGTAGGTAGCTTGTCACATGCTGGTCGTTTGCGCTGATCATCTGGGATATCGAAAATCTCGTTGAACACACTCGTTAGCTGCTTGGCGCTATGGCGGTTGTTGGCGCTGGGCAACATCATGTGCTGCTCTATAATATCCATGACGCGGGGTGTAATATTATCCCCGACAGATTGGCAATAGTCACGGATGTCTCTGTGCATCTCGTCAACAACATCTAAACGGCCGACGCCGTCGTGAAAGCAAGCCTCGTAATCGCTTCCACGGAACGCTTGAACGCTCTGGTGACGTTTTTTTCGCTGCTCGTAGTATTTGGTCTTCTCGTCGGGGCCTCCTTTTATCCACGCACAAGCATCGCTCAAGACGGCACCAAAGGAGAATATGTCGGCCTTAGTATTGATCATATTCGGTGCGTTCTCTCGATAGGAGGAAGTATGGCTACATTCAGGCGCGCCTGCATGATGTTAGGACCCTAAGGGTGAACGCCGCTTGGGGAGGGCATACTATATAGTTGGTTTCCAAGATTGTCCAACCCCATTGCCTCGCTGCTGTTGGCGTTGGACTTTCTGACATGCGTGAACAGCCCAAAATCTGCAATCTTGGGAACGAAGTCATAGCGCGAGCCCGAACGGCCTTTGAAAAGTAGGATATTGTTAGGCTTA